CCTCTCAGGGAGCGTCCACTCACTCTGCAGACGACCCTCACACGGACCACATGTATGGACTCATGACCATTGGTAAGGGTAGGAGCGGAGACTATAAGCAGTAAATCCAAAGCTTGGATTGCAGACGCTGCTCCCTCTCCACCACAACAGTCCAATAAAGCAGCTTCATCACCGCAGACTGCACTGACCACCTGTCAATCTCATGTTCCATCCTTCCCTCTGAGACCTGAGAAACTGGAACATGCTCTGCTCCACCAAGAGGACAAAGCCTGGCTCCAGTCTAGAACCATGGCCTTGGATTTGGAGGCACTATTTTTCATCCCCTCTGCTTATCACTCGACTCAAACTGTCCCAGTGCAGTTTGAGGTTCCAGGAATGATGAATTGATGAAGTTTACGGATGATGACAACATCCATAACATTTGTTATTTGATTTTCTACTCCGCTATATGCAAATCAACAATTTTGCAAAGCCCTTCAAGGCGACTGCTGTGGTGAATTTTGCAATTGAAGGTGTTGACCATGTAATGTTTCATTTTCGCAACTTATTCTAAAATATCTTCCAAATGAAATATTAACAATCCTCCTGTTTGATCCAGAGGGACGAAGCAGAGCAGGAGTTCTCATCTCTGCAACGAAACCCAAAAAAGGTGAGTGAAACTGGAGCAAAGCCAGAGGAAGAGCGGGCGCCAGCAACCGATGCAAAACACAGCGCAAAAGCCTGGGAGAGCGGTGACTGCTGCATGGGAACCAGACCTGCTCACATCTGGGGCCGTTTCACAACTTGTGGGGGCGGCTCTCAGCTCAAAAAGGTCCATGAGAATGTGCGCTGACATGGTTGCAGTCTCACTCCTTGCCGGTGGGGGTGTACCCGGAAAGAGAATTACCCAATGCTTTTGTATGCCGTCTTCTTTCCTCTCGAAAATGGTTTTACAGGATGGTCCAAAAGTTGCTACATTCCAGATGTGTCAATGCTGAGGAGAGTTTTTTTTTTTGGACCAGCCGAGTTTAGCCGCTGTGGACTTTTGAATTAAACATCAGAAACCACTGGAACTTGAGAGAAACTTAAATAAACTTCCAGAGTTTGGCGCACCACGATCCGTCTCTGTCTGGTTGATTCCTAACAGATTTGGTGGAGAGATGCGCAGCTAAGTGTGCGCCAAACTCTGGAAGTTTATTTAAGTTTCTCTCAAGTTCCAGTGGTTTCTGATGTTTCTTTCTCTCAGACCAAAATAGAGTCTGTACAGTTATATAGTCATTGTTACGTCACACATCGAAAGACATACGTGTCACACAGAGACAGAGCAAATCATAGTCAAAATAATCAGAGTCCTTGTATAGTCTTGTAGTTGTCCTGCACGTAGGCCAAATAACTATCTAATCCTAACACTAGATTGCTGAATATGGACACTAAAGCTGAAACTGGTGGATGGAAGCCACCTCAAAGAAGAATTCATGCCTCGACACAAAGGTGAAATTCAGCCTGTAATAATCATTCAGTAACCATTATTACTGATTTTTATAAAAGATCTGTACATGTTTTCTGAAGCATTATGAGTTATCGTGTAAGTGAAGTATGAAAAGTAAAGTATAAAAAAATAAATAACTACTATTACTGTAATTCCAGTTTGTTTCACTCCAGCCATGTTGGTATCTCTCAGGTCCCCCTCCCCCTGCCTCCTAGTGTGGGTCGCATAGAATTGCTTTGGCCTCAGCTGGAAGTCTGAAGCCGTTTATCATCACTATGGACAAAAGAAGTCTTCACGTCAGCTCCTGCTTCCAGCAACAGACCATCATGACACTGCAAAAAAAATTCTGAGTGGAGTTTGCATGTTCTCCCCGTGGCTGTGTAGGTTTCCTCCGGGTCGTCCGGTTTCCCCTACCACTAAAAAAAGTGGATCGATTTGGCAAGGGTCTCCTGTACGGCGACCTCGCTCCCATCTCTGTGTGGATTGAGAGACGAATGCCCACAACAATTGAAAAGTGCTTTGTGACTCTGTCTGTTCTGTGAAAGGCGCTATAGAAATGATGATTACTTACGTTACTATTATTATTATTGTGAGAGATGTACCGTAAGTATTTTTGACAGATGTTTTGCCCGTGAATGTTTCACTAGTTTGACAACAGTTCTGGCAAGTTTCAAGAGACACAAAAAAATATATAATAATGTAATATAATAATGTCAGTGTTTAAAACTGTGTTAACGCAAATCAATTTTAACAGCATTTTTATTTTGAATTGCACAATTAACCTGGTATGTAACAAGTTATGTATTTTGACTGAAAGCCACGTCACTAGGTGGCAATAAAACACGTGTCATAGTTGGGCTGACAAGTGCCTAGCCACGTGGCTTGTCTGCATTGCTTTTTCAAAAGACAAGTTTCTGTGTTAGACCGGAAACAGAATTCAGATCACGAATTAATGTTCATCATTAATGATCCATTTGGACAAAAAGTATCAAAAAGAACAATTATCTACTATATAATAAGTATAAACACAATTGAATATTTACATTTCATATTTAAATCATTTATTAATATTTGTCAGTGTAAAATAACACACGTCTGTTTGAAACAACAGGAAATAACACAACTTCCACAAGAAGCAGAAACACATGTGAATAAACACGTTTAACTATACACAAAGACTTTGGCATTTCATGTGACAAAATTAATTGTGAGATGACAAGCATGAGTCAAACGCAATTTGAGAAAAATCTACAAACTAATTTTGAATCAGAAACAGCTGCCAACAATGACAAGTTTGAAAACAGAGCATTTGGACAGAAGGTGGGGGGACGTGTTTGTGCCAAAAGGGTTTTTCATAAGGAATAATCTTGTTACACGCTAAAAAACTGATAAAAAAAGCAGTGACTTTTACTTCAATCTCTAGGGCATTCCCTCAATATTGTTCTTAGCTTTCAACACAAATAATACGGCGTAACTAAAGACAGTATTTGTAATTTAAAAAATCATTATTGTATTTACCTTCATGTGACCCGGACCATAATGAAAAGGTTTCAATTTGAAAATAGTTGGCTTAATTAATTACTAAAAATAATAATAATAATAATAACTACAGACAATCTTCAATTCAAATAGTTTAAAATAGTCTTGAAATGTATTTTGTGGTGATATTTTATGACTGTAACCTCTTTAGCTGTTGCTTTTGGCAGTGGACTGGTGACACTGGGGGTGGGTTGCATACGCAGACAGAACTCCTGCTATTTCTACTCATAAAAATGCAAATCTAAGGAGACAGGGGACAAAACATAGGATTAAACTCTTCTCTGCTTTCAACAAAACCAATCAATGAATTTAAAACTCCAAAATGAACCTAGAAAATCAACGTTTCAATCACAAAAGAAAGAAAGGCTAATGGAGCCAATACGCTGCAAAGTGGGGGATAGATGATTAGAATGTGAATTCTGCATTCAGTGCTGCTGTAACTCTCTGAGCTCTTCTCCTTTATTGTAAACGTGGTCACATTAAAGGCCCTGCAGGCTCTGCTTAGACCACAGGCCAGATTCTGTCCGACCTCTGAAGTTAAGCAAGGCAGCGTCTGGTGGTACTACGATGGGAAAGCTCTGGGAACACCAGCTGCAGCTGTAAAGTGCCAAAATTTTGTGAATTGTCTTATGCAAGAAAATTCACCCACATTGCCTACTGCAAGGCTGGTGTGTGTGCGTGAATGATTATCGGTGGTTGGAGGGGCCCAGACTGGTTGCTTTGCTTCTGTCAGTGTGCCCCAGGGCAGCTGCAGCTAGATTGGTCAAGCTCTAGAAGCTTGATCAATCTGATAAGTAGTCCCAATAGACCCAATGATTATTGATTGGTTGGCTATAACATAGGTCTATCCTGCACTTTTCGATCCCCTTAAATCATAGCATTTCCTCTTTGGCATGAACGTTGTTTGAGTTGCGTTCGTCACTGTTGTTCCAATAAACTGGTTGGACCAAACAAGTCAACAGCCAAAGCAGCTAACGCCCTGTCATTCTGCCAGCGCTTTCTGTTTCAACGCGAGTCATGCAAAGTCCCCACATTTACATGGTTCCTTCAGCTCGCCGCAACTTGATTAAATCAGGGGCTGTACGTAAAAGGATCATTTGCGCTGAGTAACCAATTCAAATGCAAGGATTAGTGTTGTCCATGGTTGAATTAGCTCACAATGGCAGCTGTTGTCAAAAACGATGATCAAAAATAATCTCCCCTGTGATGCAGTAAACTGAGTCAGCATTGAGTGAACTGTTGATGAGATTAAAGACGTAATTACATCAAAAGTCGCCACGAAGTTTGTGCCCCCCAACAAAACTATAAGAAGTGTTTCCTACCAGTGCCATTAAATCAATGTATTCCCATGTACAAAGTTACAAATTTGTTCATTTTTCCCTCCATAGAGGCACACAAATGGTTGTCCATCCCCATAAAAGGTACGCAGCCTGGGGTAATCTTCCGCGACTAGTGAAATTAAAGCTGGGGTATAATACCTCTTATCCCATAAATTGTACATGCTGTTTGCTCCAACAGAAGAAGTCTTGTAAACAAATCAGACCACAACAAGCTGTCTGGTTATATTTAGCATGTTTGTAAGAAAGAGCCGTGAGAGTCAATACCTGACTCTTGGAGATGAGCAAAGGTTGGTTCTCTTTTTTTTTTTTAAGTGTCGATTTTCTGAAACAGCTGATCTAAATATGTGACAGAAGCCAAAAATACTTGTGTGAATAGAGAGATAGAAGTGATAGTATGAGGATAGAGCTGTTTTGTTGTGGTTAAAAAGTTAGGTACCCCAGCTTTAAGCAAGTCCAGCTGTATGTAGTTCCCATGCATCTACTCTTCTTGGAAGATGTAATGTTCGCGATACTGTAAACCAAGTCCTTTCTCTGCAAAGGAGATTCGATTGGATACTTACAGCTCTATATTTATTCCAGTCTAAACTTGCCAATAGAAAAAAATTCATTTGAATAAATAAAGCGTCCATTCCCGCACTTTAACACTCATAAAGTCAAATGAAACAGAAGAACTTCTTCCAGCTGCAACTGGAGAAGGCTTTGGTGCGTCGGTCTGAGAACCTCCTCTTTTTGCCTTTCCGCGTTTTGCTTTTGATGGCGGCAAAAATGGCAGCATCGAAAGCCTCCTTCAGGTTCTTCTGTGTGAGTGAGGAGCATTCTACGTAGTCCGCAGCCCTGATTTTCTCCGCCATGCTTTTGGCTCTGTTCTTCACGATGGGGCTAACATTGGAGCTGTCCAGGTTGATCAAGACGTTGACGTCCAGCAGTAAGTCCGACTGGGTGCCCACCAGGACAATGGGCGCAGACGGGTTGTGTGCGCGGATCTCTGGGATCCACTTCTTGGTGATGTTATGGAAGGATGTGGGGTTGACCACGCTGAAGCAGAGCAGGAAGACGTCCGTTTGGCCGTAGGAAAGAGCCCGGAACTCGTCGAACTCTTCCTGAAAGCCACAAAGTCACTTTATGAACAATAAGCCCTTAAAACATCTGTTTAGTGCATCGAACGTCACCAAATAAGGTCAGTAGGGGGAAGACTGACTAGAGGGAAGAGGTCTTTGGTCAGAGCGTTTTCTCAAAATATAAATATATATAGATATATATATATATATATCTATATATATATAAATATTGTATATGTTTTGTTATAGCTTGTCTATACATTTAATGTGTAATTTGTAAGAATCAAATGATTAATAGAGTGAATTCTTTGATTATTAAAATATTCAAATACAATTTGAGAAGATTCAGATTATTTTTATAATTCTGGGTTTTTGAGTAGCGTCTAAGCTGCAAAAGGAGGATCTGGGACCGCCCTGAAGGTTTCATTAAGATGAGGAAATTGTCACAGCAAGTACTTTGTGTAACTATGAATCATACTTCAGTCTCAGACATACATTCAACAGGATGGACATATATTCAACAGGATGGACATATATTCAGGGGATGGACAAATGTAATAGATCACTTAAGGTAATACTTGATAGAAAACATCATAACTGCAGTAAATTGAAATTGTTTATATGTTTTACTCCATAAGTTCAAGTTTGTGTTTGGCCCTTTTATCAATCCATCAATAATTCATAATAATATGAATCAAGGATGAGGCTATAGTGAACGGTCTAATGCAACAGGCTGAGTCGGACAGTCAGGACTAAAACTGAGAGAAACTGGTGAGTCAGTGGCACTGGTTCTTTACAAATCTTAACATTCATAAATCATAACTTTTTAAATCGTTGGGAAAATCTGAAACTTATAATGGTCATTATCTATGGTGCTGTCCAAAGTGAACAGTTCACTGCTTTTGACCATGTTCTAGTTGATTATTTGGCACTTTTTGTAATGAATGATTACGTTGTAATTAATTAATAATTAATTAATTTAGATGACATGGAGTAAGAGCATGATTCACAGGTTGAGAAATAAGATGGTGAATAATGATCTTCTTGCGTTATGAGAAAACTGCTGAGAATCTCACCTGTCCAGCTGTGTCCAGGAGCTGCACTTTGACTGGGGACCCTTCCACCTGGACCTGCCCTGTTACAAACAAGGAAACTCAGTCAAAAACGATATGTAGGCCAATAGTTGATCATCAGTTGAAAAACCTAACCATTTTGAAATTTCTCTCATGACAGACCGGTCCACTTTGTGAATTTGAGAGGGTTTTTTGGAGTTTTGTTTACTGACACAAACAAGTTGAAGTAGGTCAGATCTCAATGGGCAACTCTTTGGGTCTTCTTGATCTCTGCGTAAATATGTCATTATTAATGTATGCGTGCAGAATGAACAGGATGTGGTGGACTACAGAAAGTATCATTTTTTGAGGTAACACTGTTGTCACTTAATATATGCTTATTTCCAGACCATGTAAATAGTGAAGTCACCTATAATGACATTATCTGCTGTAGCATCAATGTAAATAAAACCAGTCAAGAATAAGTAATGATGCTGATTATGTTAAACTAGTCCTGCATGACCGTACCGTACGCTGAGGTTCAGGGACTTCAATCATTTTGTGAATTAATAATAATACAACAGTTTAAGATGATTGTTTGATTCAATTATTAATGATTGAGCAGCTGGAGATCAGAGGAACTGACAGAAACCCCAAAACCTTCCCCCAATCCAAAAGGTTTGACCACATAGTCCTTAGAATGTTAAAAAGTGCCTATAAATCCACAATTAGTAAAGAAAAGACATCTTATAACGTAATTGGTCACATCGTAATGTCGATGTACTTTTGAATGGAGCAGTTTTAGCTCAGGTTGATTTCTCTGTGAAATCCTTTCATATGATGATGTCATCTACAACCAGGAAGTCAAGTTTTATTTCGATTTTGAGAAAAATGCAATAAAGTAAAAGAGAAAGAAAGTTCTCTAACCTGTCATATGAACTTTAGATAAAATAACAAAAGATAAAACTTAATATAGAGATTAGTCTTAATTAGTCTCTAGAGAGAGAAATGTGTCTTTTCTTTGTCAGATTATTAATTTGTGATAAATAATTGCCACACTATGTTGTAATCCTGTATCCAATAATGGACCATTACATTGGAATGACAGAAACTTACCCCAGACAGACAATAAACATTCAAGGATTTTCAACATGAATGGCCAAATAATATATATTATTAATATTTTCATTATACTAACGACTATATATTTGACAATATATATGTTTGTCAAACAGTGGACCTAACTTCTTATACATATTTTGTGTTTAAAAAATTACATCTTATTGTACAAAGCATGTTGAAACAATTACTATAATATTGAAATGTGTGTTGAGGGAGCTCCATAGCAAATAAGAGAAAGTAGTAATTGTAGCACAAATAAGTGATGTACCCAAGCTTTAAATCTAATACTAACCCAAGACAATTTTGTATTTTTTTTTTTTTACCTCAAATTAGTTTACAAATGGCAAATGAACTGAATCTGAATCAGAGATCAGGTCAAAGCTAAGTGATTAAATGCCGAATTTATGCACGTCAGAATCAAAGTAAACTATTATCCATACAGAGCATTGTATATTGTTATAAAATGTAAACTGCTAAAGGTACATTTTAAAGAAAACTGCTGCAGTAATAAATGCAACTCACCAGAGAAAACATCGAACCCTGTCTGCAGATATTCCGCGGGATACCCATTGGACGTGTAGCTGACCACCATGCTGGTCTTCCCCACGGCTGGGTCTCCCACGAGCATACAACTGATCGCCCCGGGATCCAGAGCGTCCTCCCCGGTCAAACCCAGCGCTGAGGCCCGCTGTTCGTGCTGGTAGAAGTAATCCATGTGCGGTGACATGTCCCACTTATTTATCAAACGTTCCTCTTTCACGTTTCCCCTTTGAGAGGAAAATCGATTAAGGTGATTAGAGTGGTTTGAGTGGTTAATCGATATGACAAGCCACGAGTTTGTAGTTCATTTGTATTGTCCTTGGCAGAACGGGTAGTATTCCCCTTTCCAAATGAAGTGACAGCTCCAGAGAGATGCGCGCAAAAGTCGTGCGTGAAAGGAGAAGTCCACTTGGTACATTGGATCTGCTATTAAGCTGAGTTTAGAACTTTGGCAGTCCTAGTTTAATCCTTATTTAATACCAGGTTCAGTCCCAGTTAGGTTTAGCTTTAGTCCTAGTTTAGGCTCAGGTTTAGTCTTGGTTTGGTCGCAGCTCAGGTTTCCCTCTCTGCTCCTCTGCAGACTGACTGAGGTGCGTGTGGAGTGGTTTTATTTAGGGCATAAGCGCGCAGACTGGTTCTGATTTGCATAGACACTCCCCCGATAATACTACATCCATGCACTCCTACTCAAGAGCCGCTCCTGAAGAGAAAAGGCAACTAAAGGTCATGCAAAAACAAATATAAGTTGTTGACATTTGTGAAGAAAATGATGTTGACATTTACATAAGTGAGGCTTTGTATCTGAGCAGATATCTATAGCTCGTGTTGGAATCCACAAGTTTGGCACAATTTCCATATTTGTATGACATGTACTGCACAACCTCGCAGTATTTACATATACTTAAAATAACCCTTGTGATTGTCAAAAAACAAGCTGAACAAAACACAAGTTGTTTATCCCAACAAAAAGAGTCTTGTAAAAGTATGATGTTGTGAAGAAATCAGACCCCATCCCGCTGGCTTAATTTTATTCAGAAAACGTGCTGCATTATGCATTCTGAGTGGGGGTGGTGAGGGTGGTCTCCTCTTTATCCATTTCTGTCTGTAAAAGCTGATCTACAGATGTGACAGAGGCCAAACATACATGAGGAAACTATTGATAGCAAAGTTTTAAATTTCAATTTTTTCATCTTTTGGAATAATATTACATTGTTTTTTGTTTTTAGTTTGTCTTTTCATACATTAAAACCAACAAGCGTAGTGGAATACGGACGGCGTAATTAAAAAAAGATGTATGCATTGCTCTCTGGCGCCATCTGCTGAACAACCTGTGTCATTACATCCAACACTCCACGTGATCCGCTGGTCACCTGACTCTCACACGGCTTCTTCCTGTTTTGGTTTAACGCTAGCATCTCTAAAACGCTTCATTAATTCACAAATGTCCCTTTTACATGCTGCTTATACGATGCAATAGCTTCGGTGTGCTTTTCTCTCCATAAGTCCATGTCTGTAGTCAGCGTTTTGTCTCTTACCTTCTGAAGCTAATCATGCTAATATCTGAAGCTATGGCATTTTAGCATACATTTGCAAACACTAGAGGCGTTCATAAAAGCTAGTTGTGTGTGATCAAACTCTTTTTTAAATGAGCCATGGCATCGATACTGGATGAGTATGAAGATTCTCAACATACACAGCAGAATGTGCAGTCTCACGGCCGCCTGGGAAGCACTAACATTGGGATAACTCACTCAGGTAAGACTGGGGCTGGTGCTTTCACAGCTAATAAACTGTATGCATACATTAAGAAATGAAATTGAATTCTGCACCAATAAATTGTGTAATAATGCAGGTTTTCTTGTCTGTTTGACTAAGCTGTGTAGAATTATTCATCCAATTTCTTCTCCTTAGTCATTTCTTCAAAGGGTTAAGTGTCTTGCCCAAGGACACAACGACAGCAGACATCAGTGGGAGTTGGTGCAGGTCTCATAGTGGGCTTGAACCCTCAGGCCAAGGCTCTACCAACTGAGCCACTGTCAAATAGACTGGAATTATTTTCTGATTATAACAATAAACCACATTTTACAGCGTTTGGTAATGTGTATTGGCTTCAACATCAATACACCCTATCAATAGTTTAATCGTATGTTAGTCCTAAAATAGAAGCAAAAGTCAATTCATATTCTTCTGCTCTATCTGCCATATCAGATCAGAGAGGCAATAGTCTGATCAGAGATGCCCAGTCTTTCCTCTCAAACAAATGTGTGGCTCTGAGGGAGCGGTCAGCTACTCAGTGGAGGAAACTCAAGTGGACTGCTTTGGTCCTCCATCTTGTCCTTTGGGCCCTTCCCCAAAACTCATGACCGTAAGAGAGGGTGGCACTGAGCGGTCAATCTGGAGCTTCGCCTTTAGATTCCAGTCCTAAAAGAGCGTTTTTCTGTAGTTTCCCATCATGTTAAACACAGTGGTAGAAAAAGAATTCATCAAAATGATAGAAAAGGGAAAGTTTTGCGTCATAATAGTCATTGCCGTTTCTTGATCACTTGTGTTTCTGTGCACAGGTTTTGTAAACGTGAGGCTGGAGGAGGAGAAGCCCATATTTAACAAGCAGAGAATTGACTTTGCTCCTCCAGAGAAGATCAACCATCTGTCTGTGTGCAACAACCAGCTGTGCATGAGCCTAGGGAAGGACACGCTGCTGAGGTGAGTACCATTGCAGGGGTTATAATCTGTGAACAGTTTATCAAAGTTTATGTCTGTTTGGTTTTTCTCAGAATCGACTTGGCCAAACCGGATCAGCCCAATCAGATTGAGCTTGGGAGGAAAGACGACAGCCGAGTGCACAGACTGTTCCTCGACCCCACAGGTAAAAGCAAAAAGGCATTTATTACAGGCATTGGCAGAACATGATAGTTTGTAACTCTATAAGTAGCTGTTATAGAACAATATTAGTTTTGACCCTTGTATGCAATCTTGGACCTTTTAGTTTTTCATGTAATGTTTTTAAATAATTTCAGTGTTATATTTTACTGAAGTGATTATTAATACTGTTATTTCACTGAATTGAGCAAGCTTTAAGAATTTCTTTGGGCAGCCAAGCCGGTAGCACAATTCCAATCCAAATCAATTTGGTTGTTTACAGCCTTCGGTTGTTGCTCCATCTCAGTGCAGCACTTTGTGTATGAAATGTGCTCTGAAAATACTTTCCAAAGGAAATTGAATCTCTTGTCATAGTTGGTGCTGCAGTTATCTTTTTTGCCTTTTCTTCCAATGACCTCTGTGCATCTTGTCAAAATTATGAGCCCGTGGCCGTTGCTCCTTGTGTCCCCCTCCAGGCTCACACTTGCTGATCAGCCTGAGCTCCAGTGAATGCCTCTACGTGAACAGGAACTCTCAGAAGGTGCGGCCGCTGCCCCGCTGGAGGGGTCACCTGATAGAGAGCGTGGGATGGAACAAAGTGCTGGGCAGCGACAGCAGCACAGGACCTGTTCTCATCGGGACCAGCCAAGGACTCATCTTTGAGGCAGAGATCACAGCCAGCGAGGGCAGTCTGTTCAACAACAATCCTGACCAATACTTCAGACAGGTCTGTCTTCTACTGCTGTGACTCCTGACCAGTACAGGTCACAACACTACTACTGCTTTTTATGACATTTAGAAGATGTTGCATAACCTCCTTTAAAAAAAGAGTATAATAAATTACAGTTCATAATGCAACAGTTTGCCCTTGTGTTCAGGTTCACTCTCTGGAGGAGGACGGCCGCCCAGCGCCTGTCTGCTGCATCGAGGTGGAGCGTGGATGGGAAAACAAGTTCTTCATCATCGCCACCACAAGGAAGCGGCTGTTCCAGTTTGTGGGGCGTGTGGCCGAGGGCTCTGAGACCCAGGGCTTCAGCTCCATCTTTTCCCAGAACCAGGATCTCCTGCCCAGCTTCCAGGAGTTCCCCGTCAACATGGGCTACAGCGAGATCACCTTCTACACGTCCAAGTTGCGCTCCTCGCCCAAAGCCTTTGCCTGGATGATGGGGAACGGGGTGCTGTACGGCCAGCTGGACAGCGTGAGGCCTGAGTCTCTGCTCAGCGATGTACAGGTCAGTGAAGGGCCACACTCCTCCAAAATTTTTGACATATTTAGCATTGAAAACTACATACATGTATTATTTATGGAACAAACAAGTTAGGAACCCCAGCCTTATTCTCATTCTCATTATTATTGTAAAAGACTTCTCGCCCATCCGGAATAAACATGTACCTTGTCTAAATGCTGTTTTCAAACTTGGAAGAAAAATTGTCAGGATATGATGTCATGGATGGGGAGAAATTTGTGTACATTTGTAAATGTATTGTAAATATATTCAATGAAATTAAGTTCTTTACAATTGTTTGCCATATTAGACTGAAATTTCCCACTTCTAAGTTTTTTTTAATGCTCAAGCTCCTTTATCCATTATGTTCATTATTATTATTATTCATCACCTTTATTCTTTCCTGTTTTTTCAGGTGTGGGAGTACACACCCGACATTGACCTGTCCTTCAACAAACCCATCTCCATAGTGCTAACCCAGTTCCACTTCCTGTTGCTGCTTCATGATCGCATCAAGGCCGTGTGCACTCTCAATGGACAGGTTGTGTACGAAGACGTCTTCCCGGAGAAATTTGGCGCACTCAAACGCATGATCAAGGACCCAGTGGGCGGCCTGGTCTGGATCTACACCGAACGAGCCGTGTTCCGCTACCACATCCAGAAAGAATCTCGCGACGTCTGGCAGATGTACATGGGCATGAATAAGTTTGACCTGGCGAAGGAATTCTGCCGCGATCGACCTGAATGTATGGACATGGTGCTGGCGAAAGAAGCCGAGCACTGGTTTCAGAACAAGCGGTACCTAGAAAGTGCAAAATGCTATGCGTTGACGCAAAACTATTTTGAAGAGATCGCGCTGAAGTTCATTGAAGCTAAGCAGGAAGACGCCTTGAAGGAGTTTTTACTGAAAAAGCTGAATAATCTCAAGCAAAACGAACGGACGCAGATTACATTGCTGGTTACATGGCTTACCGAACTTTACTTGAACCGAATCGGGCAACTTGAAAGCGACGCCAACACAGTCGTGTTCAAAGAAACACGTGATGAGTTTAGGAAATTTCTAAACAGTTCGAAGCATAAGGAGTGCCTTTTCAACAACCGTAGCACGATTTACGATCTCCTCGCCAGTCATGGAAACGTAGACGACATGGTTTATTTTTCAGTCGTGATGCAAGACTACGAACGGGTTATATCGCACTATTGTCAACATGACAACTTTGCTGCCGCTTTAGAGGTCCTTTCAAAGCACTGCGACGATAAACTGTTCTACAAATTCTCACCGGTCCTAATGCAGCACATCCCCAAGAAAGTGGTCGAAGCCTGGATTCAAATGGGGAAAAGATTGGACCCTAAAAAGCTCATCCCAGCGCTCATGAACTACAGCCAAATGGGCAGTTCGCAGCAGATTGATGAGACCATACGCTACATGGAGTTTTGTGTGTATGAGTTGGCGGTGACCGAAGAGGCCATTCATAACTACCTCTTGTCCCTTTATGCAAAGTACCGTCCAGATTCATTGCTGTTGTATTTGGAGCAGGCAGGCACACACGCGTCAGAGATCCACTACGATCTAAAGTACGCACTGAGGTTATGCGCGGAGCACGGGTACCTCAAAGCCTGCGTGCTCGTCTACAAGATCATGGAGCTGTATGAAGAGGCGGTGGACCTGGCCTTACAGGTGAGATTAGGATTTAGTTTAGGATTGTGTTTCATGTTCAGTGGCTTGCACATTTACAACTCGATCTTTTGCACATTTACAACTTGATCTTTTTAAAAAAATAGATAACTGAGAAGTGAAAGCAAAATACTACATCATTTTGTTATATTTGTAATATTACAAAACGGAAAAGCGGGCCCATACAACATGGATTAATACTTTGTGGAACACGCTTTTGCCACAATCACAGCAGCAAGGGGAATGACTAACAAGCTTTAAACCTCTAGAGACTTAAAATGTTTTTAGAGAAAGCAAAACAACTCAAACTCTGTCAGATTAGATTTAGAGCCCTTTGTACACACCGCCCGTCGCTACTACCGATTGGATGGTTTAGTGAGGTCCTCGGATCGGCCCCGCCGGAGTCGGCCACGGCCCTGGCGGAGCGCCGAGAAGACGATCAAACTTGACTATCTAGAGGAAGTAAAAGTCGTAACAAGGTTTCCGTAGGTGAACCTGCGGAAGGATCATTACCGGTTCTGGCTCTTTTGTGGGGTTCCGGGGCGCGCGCCCACCGGCCCAAAGAGACGCCGCCAGAGGAAGGAAACGTCGGGCCGAGGGCAAATATCTCAGACTATTCTCAAATATCTCAGACTATTCTCAAATATCTCAGACTATTCTCAAATATCTCAGACTATTCAATCAACCTTCACAAATCAACCATACTCCCTGTACAACATGACAGCTGGGATGCAGTGGTCCATCCCCCTCCCATTCCCATATCTAAACATATTACCTACCTTGGCATTAGGATCTCCCCCAGGCTGTCAGAGCTGTTTCATCTAAACTACACTCCACTCCTCAAATCAATCACAGACAACCTTCAACGCTGGATGAATCTACCCCTATCCCTCATTGGTCGAATAGCAACTATCAAAATGTCAATTCTCCCCAAAATAAATTATCTTCTCTCCATGATCCCAATCACCCCAACAGCATCCTGGTTCCAATCCCTTAACTCTATCATATCAAAATTTTACTGGAAAAACAAAACTCCCAGAATAAAGCTCACAACATTACAAAAACCCAAATCACAAGGAGGACTTGGCGCACCAAACTTCACTCACTACTCGACAGCAATTCATATGCAATATATTTATAAATGGACACACCCACACCCTGCAGACAATACCTGGTCCGACATTGAACAGACAATCTGTGGAAATATATCATTATCTGACCTTCCATTTCACAGCAGCTCAATTAAACGACACCCATGCTTCACATTCTATACAATATCATCAGCTCTGACAGCCTGGTGGAAATTTTATAAAATCACTAACACCACTCCCACACCATCCATCTTCACCCCCATCTGGAACAACCTAGACCTCCTACAGTTCAAGAAACCATTACATTTTCGTACATGGGCAGAGGCAGGCATCACACACCTACAACACATTTTTCATGACAACACACTGGTTTCATTCTCGCACCTGGTCCAGAAGTTTGGCATCAGGGACACACAATATCTCGAGTACCATCAATTAAAATCAATCATCCAAAAATCATATGACACAAAAAATATAGATCTCACTCTCCCCCAACCAATTACAAGATTACTAAATATCAAGACCCCAAAAAAAATAACTGCCAACATCTACAGAATCATCATCCATTCAAATTATACAATCACCTTACCAACAGAAAAATGGGAAACAGACCTTGGAATTGCCCCTGATGCCAGCTTCTGGACCCAAATATGTAACAACATCTACAACATGTCTGACAACGCAAACCTTCACCTGATACAGTACAAAATATTACACAGAACACATCTCACCGGACAGAAAATGTCAAAATTCAGCTCATGTACAGACAAATGCACCAACTGCGCACAAAACTCAACTGACACGCACATACATGCTTTTTGGCTCTGCCCCCCTGTTCTTCAATTCTGGAAAGAAGTGACAGAAACCCTCTCAACCATTATGGACCACTGCATCCCCCACAGCCCTTTACACTGTCTACTCGGCGACACATCCACTCTAACCTTAGACCCAGCAGACCAACAACTTACCCTGATAGCACTAACAATTGCAAAAAAAACAATACTCCTCAACTGGAAATCAAAAATCAAAGTCAACACTTCACAGTGGAAAGATCTCCTCCTAGAAGACTTATCCTTTGAACAAACATCCACCAATCACAGAATTACTGAAACACCCAGCAACTGGAACAAACTCATACTTTATCTTACAAATTAACTAATTGCATTGTCACTGTTATTATTATTGTTACGATAATTTGAATTGTTATGATTATTATTATTACTTTTATTTTCTATTTTTATTTTAATGTTAATTTAGTTTTCATATTATTATTATATATTATTGTTATTATGATTATTATTGTGGATTTATCTTATTTTTTTCTCTCTTTATTTTTGCTCACTTGTGTTATTATTTTTATTGTTTTTTATTTTATTATTTTTTTTTATTTATTTTTTTATTTTTGTTCGTATAGTTTCTGCTTAACTATTAATATTATAAATTATATAATTAGTATTTACACATACAAGATATATCATATTTGAATATGTAGAATAAGCAATTACGAACGGTGATGGTGAGGAAGCAACAATAATAAGTAATATTGTTTAATTTAATTAATACACATTGTATGATAAATATATGGACTCTTCCCACAAGCATCCCAGGCACATGCCTTTTTAATGCACAACACCTCACGCAGATATTTTTCTTTTTAATACACCACACAATCACAGACAAACTAGTGAGGAAAGCTGTCGGAAGAGCGCCAGTAATAATGCTACTGTTAAGGACGCTAGTATGGTCATAATTACTATCTTCATCATCGCCATTGTCGCTATTGCTGTTATTAAAAAAAAAAAAAAGAGGTTTTGTATATATATATATATATATATATATATATATATATATATATATAGATATATTTTTAATTGTCTTTGTTTTTTTGTTTTTGTTTTTTCTATTATAAAAATATAAAGTAAATAATAAGTAACACACAGACACACACACACACGCACAAACATGGAAGACCCCCCCCCCCCCCCTTCCCCCCCTCCCCCCCCATGTATGTATGTTCATGTTGTTTTGTTTAAATAAAAAAAAAAAAGATTAGATTTAGAGAGTTTATGAACATCAGTTTTCAGATCTTTCCCCAGATTTGATATGGATTTAGGCTTGTATGTTTGTTCATTGAAAAGAACACTTTTATTTTTATTATTCTATTAAAATGTATTAATTGATTCGCAAGCACACAAAGTGAGCAATGGATTATTCACAGGGATAATCTGAGACCAGGCCCATTCAAATTGTGGCCCAGGAGCCGAATTAGGCCGTCTCTCCCTGGCCCCTTTAATTAGGGCTATAACCGAGTCTCGATCCCCTCTTTGTCCTTCCCTTTGGCCTAGGTGGATGTGGACCTGGCCAAGTCTTGTGCCGATCTGCCAGATGATGACGAGGAGCTGAGAAAGAAGCTGTGGCTGAAGATCGCCAAACATGTGGTCCAGGAGGAGAAGGACGTGAAGAAGGCCATGAATTGTCTTTCCAGCTGCGACCTGCTCAAGATAGAAGACATCCTGCCCTTCTTCCCTGACTTTGTCACCATTGATCACTTCAAGGTAAAACCTGTTTTGACTGTGTCGGCTTTTCACCATGGGTTAGACGGGTATGTGTGAAAATATAAGGGTTAAAATGACTAACTACAATCTGAAGCAGGGATCTCAAGTTCAATGTAATTGGGGGCCATTAGGAGGTATACTGTATTTATCACATGTTTGTGTGTGTGCAAAATATATGAACATTGGAGCAAACAGGTCGATGCACATGTATAATTAAACCACTACAATTTTACATAAATATAATGCTACAGTCAACCATTTTTATTAAAGAATAAAAATAATGACAATCTTCTCAATAAACAGAGAGACGAAAACCTGGAATCTTGTGTTTGTGGAAACTAGCTCATCATTTGTATCTGTGACTTTTTATAATCCTCAAGCTATTTTCACCACATAATTGCTTTTATTGAATATGCGTATGGATATGATTTTTTTTTTGTATTTCTATGAACCAAATGAGTACAGCTGCTTGGATTGAAACAAAACTAGACCAAAAGCAATCAGGCTCAGTATTGTAGACTGTGATATTAAAATTGAATGTCCAGTAAGGGGCTACAAAATTCCTTGAGAATAACAGTTGAGACCACTGATCTAAAGTCACAGGACCCCAGGGAATCACATTATACAGACTGCATAGTAAGGAAGCCAGGAAGAGCCAGCAGGGGATTAACGACAATATGAATGACTCAAGCATGCATTAATTGCTCTAAAACAACAGTGAGTATGTAAACGACATGGACAAACACTGTAAAAAGTATGTTTGTTTCCAGGAGGCCATCTGCGGCTCTTTGGAGGAGTACAACCAGCACATCGAGGAGCTGAAGCAGGAGATGGAGGAGGCCACAGAGAGCGCTAAGCGGATCCGTGAGGACATCCAGGAGATGAGGAACAAGTATGGCCTGGTGGACTCTCAGGAGAAGTGTGCGTCATGTGACTTCCCCCTGCTCAACCGGCCCTTCTACCTGTTCCTCTGTGGTCACATGTTCCATTATGACTGCCTCTTCCAGGTGCGTGTTGCAGTTCATTTACAAGCACTTTTGAGATGCTCTAGAGAAGTTGTTGTTTACAAGCTTTTATAAACTCATTGAGGTGAATACTTATGATGTGAGGCGGTCAAAGCTGGTCCTGCTGAGCACTCATTTTATTATGAAAACAGAATAAGGTGTTACTAGCTACTTTAGCTTGTCTCCTGTCAGTGGTCACTGCAGAAGTTCTCTTGGGCTGAAGAAGATCCATACATACATACCAGTACATACACATACACATATAATCATGGCGTTTCCTTGATTTTCACGCCTCACTTCATACACCTCTTGATAAATTTAATCCGGTATTCACATGCAGTAAATGCGCCGTGCTCCGCTGACGGGGACCTACAGCTTTCAAAGGGATGAGTAAACACAGAAGACAAACTCCAATGTCAACTGATAATGGCTAAATCTTACATCTAACATTTTGTTGTCCCGATCATAAATATTTTACATGCTTGTATGATTTGTTCACATTTTACTTTTGCGAGACTATTTTTGTTTATGAATGGGGGAAAAACAAGTTTGGTAGCGCCCTGTCTTTAAGTATAGTTCTGAAAATACTTGAGTCAAGAATTGAGTAGAAATCTATTCCATCTGTTATGTATCCACAGGAAGTAACCCCTCATCTTTCCTCGTTCAAACTGAGCCGCCTGGATGATCTGCAGAAGAAGCTCACAGCCGCCACACAATCCTCCAAATCCCGGCACCGCCCGGCCCCCAAAGAAGACAGCGACTCGGCCAGTTTGGGCAAAGGCTCTGCAGGGACCAGCCGAGAGCAGATCAAGTGTGACATTGACGACATTGTGGCCTCCGAGTGCGTCTACTGCGGAGAACTCATGATCAAGTCCATCGACAAGCCTTTCATCAACCCGGACAAGTTTGAAGAGGAGAAGTCCAGCTGGTTATAGAACACTAAGCAAGAAAGTACATGTTACAATACCTTGAACTCAGATTCGAATATTGAAAACACATTATTCTTTAAACCCATAATATTCTGTAAAATCGCCCTTTTCTCTCTTTTCTGCCTTCTTTTTTACCATTGCAAAGTTTCAATCATAGCACACCAGTTATGAGATTGGAGTATTTAGACAGAAGGGGAGGGCAGGGGTTTGTCAGATTTTCCTGAGCTAAAAACAACCCCAAATCTTTTTTTGAAGAGGTGCAATGGTTGAACAAGGTAAAATATGAGGTTGCATTTTCCCCTTTACACCTGCTCTAAACTCTATCAAATAACAGTTGATTCAAAACACTAACAAGCTTTTGTAATATTCTGCTAACAATGACATTTGATTGTTGTGTCTGCTTATGCCAACTCCGACTCTGAAACATGTGGTTTCTCCGTCGTTCTAAATATTCCAAAACATAATTCTTAATCACATCCACTGATAATACATTTTTGTGTATTTTATTCACTCATATTCATTGAGAAGCTCTGAACTGTTATGTGTCAGTTGCTTGTCTGTTTTCTTTTTGTAAATTAAAATGATGAAAATCAAGCATTTTTGAAACTTGTGATTATGTAATTTATTAGGTTTATGTTGTCAATTAGAAGGCATCATATAGAAAGTAATTGTACATTTTGAAATCTATTAATTTCAATGGGTTAGTGTGTAGTAATGAACAACACAGTAAAAAGTCCCATAGTTTTGAAGATTTCAGCCAAAATGAAAAAATTAAAGCTGGGATACCTAACTTCCAAACAAAAAGATATGGAACCATATAAAATCCATGTACATGTCACATGCATGTATTTTTGGCCACTATCACGTCTTTAAATTCCAAAATGAGAGGACCTCCCTCTCAGCTTATCAAATAAAACATGTTTTCCAATAAGATTAAGACAGAATGTTGTGATCTGACTTGGTCACAGCATTTCACTGTTACGAGACTAAGTTATCTTGGGATATGATGATCTGGGACACATTTAACATAACATTTATGGACATTGGTTATCCTGCTCCATATGGACTTAGGCTCATTTTGTCTTTTATGCCCATTGTAAAAGAGCCATTTATGACGTCCCGGGCGGTAAACTTTGAATCTTTGGGAAGATTAGTATCATACACAAATTATATCTTTATGAATTAAGGTATTTAATAAAAAACCTGCCTTTAAACGATATTCCAAGAGACTTGGTGTAGAAACAATGCATTTAATTGCGTTTGTGTTTTATTCATACCTCCTGGCTGACTGTTGTCATTTGTATACAATGTGTGAAGTTGTACATTGAAATGATAAAAAAAAAAAATACAAATCATTCGGAGCCACACGAGTTTGGGGTGCTCTGCCCATAAATGGACTTCCTTTTCGCTTTGCGTAATACGTCACCCTTGCTGAGAAGACTGGAACAATCAATCTCCGAAGCAGATGCATTTAACTGAATAACTCCTCATTTCTCTTTACTTCGACTTAAATCAAAATAATTTACGTCTATATCCAAAAGACCCACATCTAACCCTGTATATGCACTCATTTGAAGCCGGCAGCGGCTGTATGAGTGCTCCTCGCTCGGCTTTCCGCCCTGCTCCTCTCCGCTCCTCCACCATGGCGTCGCGTACTCCCTGCTCTCCGCTCAAAGTGGCCGCCTCTCCATCGCTGCTGCTGCCGCTCCAAACACACCACACACTCCGCCATTTTGTGAGCGAGACACTAACGGCAGCAGCCAGCGACGGGAGACCGGGGCACAGGGGCCGAGGTGAGCGTGGTGAGCGGGGGGGCTGAGGCACGGAGCTTACGGAGTAAAGGGGGAAACATGGCCGCCAGAAAAGAACGTTAAAACACCACGAGCCGAGAGGAGAGGCGAGCGTTAGCCCCGCGCGGAGTGCTCTGGCGGCGCGCGGAGCTGTGCGACACGGCCTGCTCCCCGAGTCCACCGCAATAAAAGCAGCTAATAAAATAAAAGCATGTGTAATAGACTGAGGTGGCGGCCTTAAAGTGGCAGGGCCTACTTGAAAACCCATAATAATGTCATAATAATGTGTCAATATTTGTTAAAAATCGCCAACTAAGCATGTGAAGGCAAAGGCAAATGTTTGCTGTTGGAGGAAGCTAACCCAAACATGTAACCAACGGGGAATAAACGGTGATAAAACTAATATAGATGCAGGGTAATGTGATTATAGAGAGCGGTGATGTAGCATGTAAACAGTACATTCATTGACCCCTTTCTATCCTTGATTGAAGCTAACTTGCACCTAGCGGCTATGTGTGCTAACTGCTAAGGCTAAAGCCAAGAACACACAGGCCATTGCTGTGGTGGTAAATCATATTACTATTAAATTACTGCTTATTACTCACGTGTCGCTAAATTCATGACTGCGCTTGCTTAATTAAGTTTTGAGTGTTTAAATTAGTTCTATATAGCTTTATAAAACATTGGTTGAATTGCAGTAAAGTCAAACAATAACATAGTAAAATATACTAATTTTAAAGGTATCTTGTTACTTGCAGTATTGATGAATGAACACATTTTATGACCAAATTTGATTAAGCCATTATAAAGGAGCACAACTTTTCTGATGGGGTCTGCAGCCACCTTGTTGCCATAGAGATGAAAATGCTTTGTTTGAAAAGTAGCACAATATGGTATTATGCAAAACTACATCGTTTCATGGCTCGCCTTTCTGCACTAGCCTAACTTGGAACTTAGCCTTGTGAAGTCACAGGGGGGGAAACATTTAAACAAAGTCAAATAACAAGAAAAGTTGCACAATGCAGCTTTAAGTCAACAGAATAAAATGGGACTGAACAATTTGATAGAGCAGTTTGTGTCAAATGTTGTGGTTAATTAGTCCCACCTCTACTGCGCAAATGATAATCAAACTCAATTAGAGAAAGTTTCCTGGTAAAGTTGATTACTGCCTACTATTATCCATGATAGGCCAACATTGAATGCATACTGGTACAAATACAACAGGATTCATACAGAGTTTCTTAAAATGATTCAACAGTACAAAACTGACAAGGGAATAGTGGATTTTGTGTTTGCAACGTGTCATGGCATATTAAGGGAGTAACTATATACATGAAATGGGAACGTTTATCCAGTATACTTTATTATACATGACTTTTTCTATGCCACTGAAATTAAGAAATACATTTAGATGGTCAGGGGCTGGTGCTTTGTGAAATGGGTCCAGTAATGGAGAAAGGGGAAGAAAATGGATGGATGGATTTAGATAGTTCAGAATCGGAATCAGAATATTTTTTATTGCCACGTAGGTAACAGGAAGTCACAGACTTGGAAATTGCTTTGGCTCAGTGCGACAGTCAGACAGATAATAAAAAAAAGAATAAAAAACCCTTCTAAGGAATACATTTACATTTAAAATAGAAAAAATTGAGCTGAAAATTAGGATTTTTCCAAACTTGACCAGCCCTGGCCATGGATCTATAACAATAACGGGCCCTGACCCAAATGGTCTACTTTTAATCACTGTTATTTTGACCCGAGGGTAGCATAAGGGTTAAAGTATCTTCTCCAACACCAGGTTATAGTCCTCGGATCTCAGAGTGACTCCTGGAAAACTTGTTGAATGCTCTGCTTCAGCTGTGGTCATGAGACTCACTGGAAAAAGTGACATAAACTATTTTTTTCCCCTAAAAATTGTTAAAAACACAATCAGCAACAGTGTTAAGGTTTGGCTGGTTAAATGGTATAGATCAGATGGGAGTGAAACTTGCCAGGCCTTGAAGAAGTTTTGTTATTGCATTGCTTTTGGGAATGTTTTGGACACTTCAAAGATTACTTGAATGAATGAATATACTAACAGGGACGCCTATCGCTTCCAATTACCCTGAACCTTGATTTTAAAGTAACTGTTTGTGTTACACTCAACATTTTGAGCTTAAAAATCTATGGTTTAGCTCTCTGAAGGCTCCTGATGTTTTAATTTTCATAATATCTATCAATAGGAATTCTAACAAACGATTAATCTGAAGCATTCTGTCCTCAAATTTGGCTTCAGCTTGCAAATGGCCCTAGCAGAAACCAAAATGGAGCTTATTTGAGTTGGCTCTAATCAGCTTCTTCCACAACCACGCAAACGCTATAGATCACCAAGTATGATCTTTCATATGTGCTGATATGAATCTACTCATGACCAAAATGAAAACAAAAAATAGCATGTAATTACCAGATTAGTTTGTGGCAGTGTATTCTAGTGCTTTAAACCAGTTTAACCACTGATGTTAGAACTGTTGTGATTCTAGAGTTATTTATTGACTGGTTTCTTTGTTTATTTTTGTAGCAATCGTCAGTATTTTTGGCTCCAGCACAATGACGCCCTCTTCAGAAGTGGTAGGTTTGAAATGGAAATTCTATGCGTACTAAATGAATTGCTGTTAGACTTGGACAAACTTTCATCCACGAAAGACTCCTATAAGTCAATATTCGACACTTTGGGCTGTGAGATGATTGGTTGAGTGACGGATGTCCTTTTTTCACTTTACTGAAACAAAAAGCTGAGTTAGTATTTTATCTTGAAACCGGTCGAATCAAGGTGTAATTTGGTGTTGAAAGATAAATAAACTACAAACTATAAACTACAAGAGCAAATTTGTGTGTTAGGATTGTGGTTGCATGATCAAGGACTAAACATCCATACACAATACAAAACATTATTGCATTGTTACATTATTTATACATTTATTACCGGAGTAAACTTTCCAAAGATCATGTTTAGGTATAATTGATCTCCCAAGCGTGACGTCGTCAGTTCTTTAAAACTAAAAAGTATATCTACTCACTCCAAAACTGAAAGCAGTCATTTTGTGTTCAGTGATCGCTGGAGCCCTGGTGCTGGAGGAGGATGGCTTCGGGGCACAGTGCGCGTGTGGACCCTGGGCCATCGGGGGGCGCTGCTCTGGCCAAACCTCTGTATCTTCAGAGGCTCGAGAGGTCGCTCAAGCTAGATGCTTTTCTGCGCCAGACGTCCACCGTCTTCAACGCCAACGTCAGCAGGTACGGGCAGCACAAATTCCAAAATTGCAATTTTTTTTATTAAATTTTTTACTAAAATTTGAGGACATTTTTACTGCCGGAAAACAATATTTGCCAATGGGACAAGCAGAATTATAGTCTTTTAAAAAGAATGAGAAAATAAACCAACAGTTCTTTGAAATAGACTAAATGGCTTTTACCTAAGGCCTTTTTTTTTTTTTTTACTCAAATGAAGGTAAAAAACAGTTGATTCAAGCATTTAACTCATATTTTATTGTTTGTTTTGCAAAGTAGGGTTCAGGTCCAAGGGTTACTCTGAAGTCACACTTTTGGACACACTTTCACCTGTCCTGTTAGTACTCTAAAGGATTCTTTTACTCTTTTTGCCTCAGTGAGGACAGCGAGGACAGCGACTCTCTGGACTCTGGACCAAACTCTGTGCTGAAACAGGAGACTTGTGACCAGAGCGACGCCTCAGAGGGAAAACCACCGCGCAACGGACTCCTTCTGCACAAAGGTCTGCCTCCAACCATCGTCAAAGATTATCCTCCATTTTGGAATTGGCTATCTGATAGTAATTATAAATACAGCCGAAAGCAGTATGTATGCAAAAAGAGGGGGACGTGACTACGGCTTTAATTACGCTCTGTGTATTTATTGTTTGCCAATGTGTGTTATAATATTTTCTGATGGAGACATCTCTGGTGAATTTCAAATACATTTTCACAGACCAAAAGGCCGACAAAGCGAGCCTCTACAACTTCTCCAAGCTGAAGAAAAACCGCAAGTGGCTAAAGGTTTGTCTGCATTCAAACTATTTGTATTGATTTATTTGGAACAGTGCATGTTGGGAGACAGACATAACAAAACAACAAAGGGGTACATCTTAAACAACAGAGCTGTAGATGATGTCAATATAAAACCATAATAATACTTCAGTTCAAGTTACTCAACATCACAGCTCAATCCTGCATTTAATCATACCATGCAGTTCGGCTAATGCTTTACATTCAACTCACTACTTTTGTTGGTTTTACAGACTTTACTCCTGAGCGATGACACCACAGACTCAGACTCTGACGACTCCGACTTCAGTTTGTCTAAAGACGAGCTGCACGACATGTTGAGGCTTCACCGCTTCAGCCGCTCGCATCAGAGGAAGTTCCACTGCGACCGAGAGGTGAGCAGCCACCAGTCCATCACACGGTAATACACAAAACAACACAAGGGCTATAAAATGTCATGTTTTGCTTGTTTGTTGAAGCTCCATCAGTATCAGTTCTACAGCACTGGGCTCCTCTCCACTCATGACCCGTTCTACGAGCAACAGCGCCACCTACTGGGCCCAAGGAAGAAGAAAATCAAAGAGGAGAAAAAGTTCAAGGGTGAGTCCAAAGTTTGCTGCATTTACTCGCATTAAAAGGCACATATTGTACACCCCTCTGCTTCTCTGCTGCTGTGCACTGATGAGCCGTCCCAGCTCCTTGGTGTGATTTTATTTCTGACTAGATAAGTTTAGCTAAAGCGGATTCTACTTCTCTGCACACAACACAAAAAGCTCACTCTGGTTAATTAAATATAAACTGGTCCGTCTGTTTGCTGAGTTCATGTTTGTGCCGGGCTTGTTGTCATGGGCATTAGTTCGTCTTTCTGCTGATCTCTTCTCACGTGGCTATAGTGCAATGTGAGAATCAAAACAGGAATGAAGTTAGTCAAAGTAAATCCAACTCTGGACCCGCAGTAACATGTGTGAAATGTTTCTAAATGTTCTTGTTTGAAACTTGTTACAGTATGATTGTGATGAATCCTCAGACTAAGACAGCCCTTTGAAACTGTGTGTGTGTGTGTGTGTGTGTGTGTGTGCATGCATGTGCGTGACAGGGGTTGGAAGTAGATAAGTCTTTGTTCTGTCCAATCCCTTCTTAAATTGTATATAATGATTTGTAAAGTGTGAAATAAATTACTACTTAAGATAATTTCCTCACCCTTTACACATAAATTGAACATTATACGTTTAAATCCATATAATATCTGTACCTGTTTGTCTTTGTGTAGCCAAGCTGAAGAAAGTGAAGAGGAGGAAGAAGCGCGGCGAGGGCGAGGGTCTGGACGACGAGCGCCCCTTTGTGACTAAGATCTTTGCTAAGTTTTCCCATGACGCACCTCTGCCTCCGGTGAAGAAGAAGCATCTGACTGTGGAGCAGCTAAACGCGCGCAGACGCAAAGTGTGGCTCACTATCGCCAAGAAGGAGGTGCCCAAGGTCAGTGACATCACCACACACATATAATGAATTTAATAAAAATGTTGAAATACAGAAACAATGTCTTGTCCTCTATATACATTATTTGAATAATTTTTAATAAACATACATTTTCATAAAGAGACCAGTATATTTTCTATTGATTTAACTAATAAATGTAATTAATAATCTACGTACACGACATTCAGAGCAAACAACACACTGCTTGGAATATTTTAACTTCTATTTCTGAAACACGTTCATAAGGCTTGCATAACTTTCTCTTTCAGACTTTCAAGCAGAAAACATCAGCCAAAAACCTGGTCTTCACTAATGCTAAGAAGGTAAGTTCCACACACAACTTCTGGAAAGTGCGACCGGGAGCTCATGTACCCTGTGCGTCCTGCAGCTGGCTCATCAATGCATGCGGGAGGTGCGACGCGCGGCCATCCAGGCCCAGAAGAACTGTAAGGAGACCCTCCCCCGAGCTCGCCGCCTCACCAAGGAGATGATGCTCTACTGGAAGAAGTACGACAAAGTGGAGAAGGAGCACCGCAAGCGAGCAGAGAAGGAGGCTCTAGAGCAACGCAAGCTGGATGAGGAGATGAGAGAGGTAAACAAATTCCACTTTATCTGCCCTCCCAAAACATGTGCACAGTGTATCACAAGACCTTTAAAAATGGCTCATTCTTGGATGTTTGAAAAAAAGCTTTTGGATAGAAGGGACGAGGGAATGTGTTTGTGCTAATTTGTGCCAGTATACATATTCTGCCAAATCCTCCGCACAAACATGCCCCTTCCACTTCTTCTGTTAAAAGGATCTGCTTTCCAACTCTTTACACTATGAAAAATCCTCAGATTGTGACATCATAGACAACGTTGCTTTCTACCTTTTTAATACAGAACCGTATTGGTTGTTATTTGAGTTGTGTGCGTTTTGCTTCTGTGTGTTTAAGGCAAAGCGGCAGCAGCGTAAACTGAACTTCCTGATCACGCAAACAGAGCTGTACGCACACTTCATGAACGGGAAAGGCCCTGGAGCTGATGGACAAGACGAGATCCTGCAACAACTTGAGGACAGCGGCCCCCGCAGGCACATCGACATTGGAGGAGGAGTGGTTGTCAACATAGGCCAGGAGGACTACGGTAACGGTTTATATATCAAGGCACATGTTTATGCGAGTATACATTTACATTCAAGCACAAACTGGTCCCCTCCTTCTCACAAAATGCTCCATATTGAATCTGTCAAATCTGACATGACGTTCACAGAGCTGTGGAGACTTGTTTTACTTTTGAAAACGAATGTATTGTCTACAAATTAGTTGTTGATTTTCATCTCATATTTTCTTATCACCAAATATGTTCCAAATCATGATATGTAAATTATGGTTAAGGTTTGGAAGAGTGCAGGACAAGACATGCCAAACACAATAATTGGAGGAAATAGCACACATCACTGATGCCACCAGTCAAAGCTCACATCATCTCCGTTGTTCAGCCGATGCCCGGGAGCTGACTCCCCTTCAAAGCTGGACCCCCAGTGAACCAGCTGTATGTGGAAGTGGTTATAGTCCTTCCAGCTCTCCAGGGTCTTCCCACAGACTACCTTTCACCACTACATCTGGTTCATCTCAATGTGGAGGAGCATCCTCCTGTGTTACTGCATCACAACAGGCATTACACCATGTGGCTTTTCTATTGACAGACAGTGAATACTACAAGTCGCAGGCCCTTCGGAACGCGACAGAGGCCTTCCACATTCACCAGGAGAGGGTAAGTAAGGGCAGTAATGACTATGAGCTGTTTTGTCTGTGTTCAAACTCAACCTGGACCTGTGTGCACAGACACGTTTGTTTGACGATGACGCGAAGGACAGCCGCGCAGCAGCTGGGGCATCAGGGGTATCTGCGGTTTCAGGGGCATCTGCGGGCTCAGGGTTCGGAGAGAGCTACAGTCTGGCCAACCCTTCCATCCAGGCTGGAGACGACATCCCTCAGCCCTCCATCTTCAACGGCAAACTGAAGGCCTATCAGCTCAAGGGCATGAACTGGCTCGCCAACCTCTACGAACAGGTGCCTCACGGGGACCCTCGCTTCATACCACTCATCATTCATGGAGCACTATTCTATTTTAACACCATTTTATTGAACATGCAATAAGAAGTCTTCTCTTTTTCACTGTTCGATCTGAATAACTACATACAAATAAAAACAGTACATGTATCTGAAACCTTGTGATAGAACCAAGAAATATACATAGTTCCATGTTTCTTGTGGTTTGGATGTACCCCTTGTTCAGTCTTCATCCATAGAGTTCTCATAGAGTTGAAATGACCTGGACTTTTCATACACAGGGCATTAATGGGATCTTGGCCGACGAGATGGGACTGGGAAAGACTGTCCAGAGTATTGCACTTCTGGCACATTTAGCTGAGGTGAGATTTTATCACTCATTTTATTGCATCCATTACATTGTCTTTGCCTTAACAATTCAAAATTTTTTAAAATGTTGAAATGTTTAAAATGTGGGTAAGCAGCTGAATGAAAAGAGAAGTCCTCTTTTCATTCCTCTTTTAAACTCCAGCTATATCTAGCTCACATCCTACAGTATGTGTTTTATCTCCTTTATTCTATTTTTTTCCCCCCACAAAAGCGAGACAACATCTGGGGTCCTTTCCTGATCATCTCTCCGGCCTCCACACTCAACAACTGGCACCAAGAGTTCTCACGATTCGTTCCTAAATTCAAGGTGGGTTACTGCACTTTTTAAAGCGACATCCAAAATCTACTTTGCACAGCTCTTATGTCCATGTTGTAGTTTTCTTCCTCTTTCTGAGTTGTTTTCACAGCGATTCTGGAAAGTTTGAGAACAGTCTACAGTGCTTTTAAAATTTGTTGACACTCGCAATTTATTACCACTTTATTTTCCCCTTAGGGCAATTTCTCCTCTACATTTGACCGATGCTTCAAACCACTAGGGCAACAGTTACCGGAAACCCACCTTCAGTTGTTGATGTTGTTGATCTTAGTAGCCGTGGAAAGTAGAGCATGCAAACTCCACTAAAACCCTTTTTTGACCGGGATACACTCCAAACCAGGACAATGTCAGGTCTGAACGAGTAGTATCAACCAAACCAGGTTAAAACCTGAACTATGGTCGTCAAAAGAAGGTTGAGGGTTTAATCTTGTCGGCTTTGCACTTTCTCTGTCTCGTCTGGGTGGGTTTCCTCTGGCATTTCTCTAACTGGTCTTTAGGAGGCACTATCAAACCAGCAATCAGTTGAAAATCCACTTTTCTCTGCAAACTCACACGTAGCTGTATTTTCTCAGCCCATTCATCAGAGCCTGTGTGTTCAGCTAACGACGTGTGAAAAGACTTGATTTCACCATTTCAGATTAGCTTCCTGAACTCTCAGACCAAGAAACAAAGGCCTATTAGAGCCTGTCGACTGATGCAATAATGTCAGATCCATTTCACATTAACTGGAATAACAAATGCACAGTTTAGGTATCCAGTGAAACTGTGTGTAATATTAAGGGATGATTCAATTGTTCATGAGATTTTTCTCTCCAGTGTGCAACACAGAGATATAGATTGATTTTGAACAGATAAAGAGTGGCATACATACTCATATTATTCATTTCTCACCAGGTGTTGCCTTATTGGGGAAATCCTCACGACCGGAAAGTGATACGAAAGTTCTGGAGTCAAGTGAGTAGCCCGTAATGTGGACTGAGTGGTTTCTAAGTGTCTACAATATGTTTGAGTCCGGGCATCTGGGCTGGTACGTTGAGGCAGCAGTTTGAGCAGAAATACCCAGACTTCCTGCTCTTCTTCTTCTACCCAGGCCAGTTGAGAGACATAGTTCTCACTCTTTTGTATATCCAGGGTCTTTACTGAGGCCTCAATTCAGTGGTACATTTCAGGAACACCTCCCCAGGGAGGCATACAGGAGGCATCCTCTCTCTAAGGGAGCGCCCAATCACTGTGGAAGAAACTAATATGGAGCACTTGTATCTGTCTTTTGGGTCATTACCCAAAGCTGATGTGTTAGAGCTTTGACTGCACTGTAAATGCTGCACTGACCGTCTATCAATCTCACGCTCCATTCTTCCCTCACTGAGAACATGACCTGAGAGATTTGAACTGCTCCACTTGAGGAAGGACTTCTGCACCTGGAGAGGTCTTTCTCTGGAGCAGCGCCATGGCCTTGGATATGGAGGTGCAGTTTGTGGATGATGTTGTCCTTTTGGCTTCATCAGAGACGACATCATGTGGTCTCTCAACTGGGCCTACAACTTCTGTTCATAAAAAAACGCTGATAGAACCGGTAACAAAGGGTTTGCCCTGGGGGAGGCTTACTGCCCTTAATGGGAACACAGAAAGTTTACAAATGTGATTTGTATTGCATAACGAGTCCTAGTATTGAGTTTGTGCTGTGGTTTCAGAAAACGTTGTACACGCAGAACGCCCCATTCCATGTGGTGATCACCAGTTATCAGCTCGTGGTGCAGGATGTGAAGTACTTCCAGAGGGTGAAGTGGCAGTACATGGTGTTAGATGAGGCCCAGGCACTGAAGAGCAGCTCCAGGTACAGTCTGTCCCCCACTGCGACGAGGGCAGAGGAAATGGCCTCTGTGGGACAGAAATTTGAACATTTATTTATGCATTCAATATACAGTGCCTCTAGAACGTACGAATACACCTTGAACGTTTGCCCATTTTGTCCTATTCACAACCACAACTAAACAACAGGCAACTGTGAAGTGAAGGCAAAATTATACATGATTTTATTATTATTATTTTATTTGTGTGAATATTGCGTTGTGTGTTTATCAGTGGCGGCTGGTGGAATTTTCTACTGGGGGGGCTATGAATATGATGACTAGATATATACCAGCAGTAAGTAAGTTTACACTGACTGTTGTGACTGAAGCCTCACACGAGAATGAAATATTTATCTTCCCAAACATAGCTAATTTGAGGGCATTTTGCATGTGGATACCAGTCTGCTCATGCTTCTTTGCCTTTTCTAAAAAGTGCTTCAGATCAGTCATACCTGTCTTGATCCATGCTGGGTCAGATCCTGATGTTTGAAACAAGAGGCATGGAAAGCAAAATAAAGCATTAGCCTCGCTACATGCTGCTAGCCAAGATTTGGCGCTAAACCAGGTCCTGGAAAAAGTACGAGTGTAGCGTCTCCCCCTGTCGCTGGACTGCTGACTAATGGTAATATTTGGCTGATCAGGTCCAAGCTCTTTAACCTCAACCTTCTCCTGGTATGATCTTCTCTCAAACGGTATTGTTTTGAGTGATCTAACTGAATTATTCTTTTTCTCGTTCTCCATTTTGCGTCTCTTTACATTCGTCTCAAACTCCCACAGCTTGACCTGTCAATCACTGTAAACGGACGTCACAGACAGTGACAGTACAGGTCGCGGGCGATCCCGCCCCCTCAGGGCGCACTTCTCCTGCGCCCCCAAATCGTCTTATCTCTTGCATTGAAGAGGAGCTACTGCGCATGTACAACTTTTAACGAGAGTCCATAGACGGCTCAGGGCGCAATCTTTTGCGCCCTGAGGCGGAAATACGTCCTCAGTCCGACACAGACAACGCTGATGAGCTTAATCAATCCAACTCAGCATAAACTATAAAGTATTTCTTCCACATCTGAAATAAAACACACATAAATTTCGAAATATTTTAATGTTATTATTTTTTTTAACGTTTTATTCAAGGTAACATGGCAAGTTGTGAGTGGTGGGGCGGCGCCCTAGCTATTGATGCTAGGTCCAAGCTCTATTGGCCGGCCGCCACTGGTGTTTATGTTGTCTTGATTACTGCGTTGTGTGTTTGTATCATGTTGAATATTGTGTTGTGTGTCTTCAGTGTCCGGTGGAAAATCCTTCTGCAATTTCAGTGCCGGAACAGACTGCTGCTCACCGGGACTCCCATCCAGAACACTATGGCAGAGGTAAGATCTGGGGCCGTATTTCTAAAGATTCTTACTGCTAAAAGTTGCTCCTAGTGGCCAAATTCTAAGAATTTTCTTAGAATCTTGACCAACTCTTAGAATTTCCCCTAAAAGTGAGGAGTAGCTCCTAGTTAAGATAAAAGCTATTCCTAAAAAATCCTAGCTCTTAAGAGTGCTCTTAAGGGGAGATCCCTTAAGAGTTGAGAGGAGGACTTTTAGCGACTTAAAAGTTCCCTAAGAGCACAAAATGGTGGACGGTGGAGACAGGAGAAATATTCTATACACTGGATGACAGTGAATCAGTGAAACGCTACAGATTCAAGCAGGAATCATGTTTGTGGTATATTTAAAAGTCAATCATGTGACCAGCTTCTTATTGGCTGGTCAGCAATAACACCTCATCCATTTTACCTTTGTTACACAAAAGTAAGTAGATATGGTAAAAGTTGAAAGAGAGGAAAAAGTGGTCCTAAATTGTCACACATTCAGTACAAATGAATGAATACTTTATTTTGAGCCATGGCAAACAAGAAAAAAGGACAAAAACAAACAAAACAACAACAGAATAGAAGTACAAATATACAGTTTTGTTTTATTAACAACAATCCAGCTCAAAAAGGAGTGGGAGAGGATAAGACTTTTAAGCTCCCTTGTACTTGATTTGTACAGTGTATGTATAATATGTTTATATTAATATTGTTTCCTTACTTCCTTATAAGTCTATAAATATCACAGCCTTTACTAATCCTAACGTTATCATTATCATCATTTATCCATATAATATTTATAATAATAATTTTCTTTATCATGTATATTATATATAGAGTAATATTTAAATTATATGTATATATATATATATATATATATATATATATAAAATTATAAGTGCTCATGATATATACGTACTATGTGTGATAAATTGGTGCTGAGCAAGCTCTGATGATGGTGTATAAGTCTAACTTTACTATTCACAGTATTTATGTACCATTGATATATCTGACTTTATAGCTTTTGGTTATTATTTACAATAACACAGTGTTCCTAAGATTAGATTCCATGATTGAGTTTGTCCATTTTAGGGCCCTTATTTTGCCTATTATCATCAAAAATATGTTTTTTCTAACTTTTAGGATCAACCAATCACAGCGTCTGAAATGATGACTCATACCTAGCAACGGGGTCGGCCACGCCTCCTCACTAAGATAAAAGTTGTTGTCAATTCCTTGCTCAGAGTTCTCTAAGAGTGTTCTGGAATAACTTTTAAGCTAAAACTCCTAGCTAGGAGTTTTTAGGTTAAGATAAGAGCTCTCTGAGAGGACTCTCAGAATCTTTAGGAATACGGCCCCTGATGTGTTGTCATAAAAAGTCACTCATTAATTTTCCCCAAAAGTAACTACAATACGGATGTGTAAAAGTTACCATTTCACAGCCAAAGTAACTATTGAATTCTTTCAATTAATTTTGGCTACTATAATCTGTGAAGGCAAAAGACACACCAAATATCAAGTGACATCCATCTCTCTCTCCTCCTCTCTCTCTCCCTCTCTTCTTCTCTCCTCTCTTCCTCTCTCCTCCACTTTGGCCTCCATACATGTTGACGGTTTGGTTTTCCTTCCGAAGCTCTGGGCCCTGCTGCACTTCATCATGCCCACATTGTTTGATTCCCACGAAGAGTTTAACGAGTGGTTCTCCAAAGACATCGAGAGCCACGCTGAGAACAAGTCCACCATCGACGAGAGTGAGCCTTCCACATACACAGCAGCACATGAGACAGCTACAGTGGGTTGCAAAGATGTCAATACAACTTGCATGACCACATCCATAACAATTGTATTTTGGTGTTTGTTTCTGAAAGACCACAACAGTGAATTGAAAGAAAAAAATGTTATTATTTCCTAAAACTACAAAGTATTCAACCTACTTTTCTCTGAGTGCAACCAGTCATCTTTAGAAGTTACTCGCTGACGGATGAATGGCCAAATGTCAACTTAACTGTAGTGATCTGGCCTTTTTATGGACGAGTGCAATCAGAAAGCCAGTGTTGAAATAAAGCCACAAGAGGCAAAGCAGGGGACAGGCCTAAATGCAAAATGCTGTGTTGTTTTTTGAAGATGAATGGGAAAAACCATCAGTCTCTTGATGTGCAAAGCGTTTAGAGTCTTACCCCAAAAGATCTCGGCTGCGATTTCAGCAAAATGGGGTGCCACAGTTACAGTTATCTGTTACTTTGTTGTGGTCTTTCAAAAAATATATAAATCCACATTTGCAGCTTTAAATTTGACAAAAGGGCACTACACTTTTGAGATTGCGGCATAATATGTTGTCACCGTTGCCTTTGCTAAGCCTGGTGAGTGAAGTTGATTGAAGTTTGATGCAATACCATTTCTCCTTCCTCTTTCATTGCAGAAAATATGTCAAAATATATCTTATGAAAGGGATTCATACTGGCATTGAAAATATGGAAAGGTTACTGGAAATGGAAAGCCTTGAAGAGGTTTTAGAGTATAAATTGCTTTTAGAAACATATTTCTTTATCACTGAGGAAAAACAACTTACTTTTCCATGAAAGTGAGTGGAGCCATATAACACTAATCCATGTGAAGACCCAACCAAACATGTGGGCGTGGTTTAAACCCTGTCCGCTGTTTTATTATAAATGGTTTGTGATGTAACATTTGTTTTGGTTTCAGATCAACTTTCCCGTTTGCACATGATCCTGAAGCCGTTCATGCTGCGGAGGATTAAAAAGGATGTGGAAAATGAACTCTCAGACAAGGTACAGTCTAAAAAATGTATGTATTAGACATGATCCTGAGAACATTTTCTGGAGAGGCATGTAAAGAATAGGACCTCGGAAAAACCTCCATCTAGTGGTGGACTGGGAAAATTACTTTCTGCTTTTAACATGACACGATTTAAAGAGCGACTAAACACCAAATCAACTTTTTTTAACTCATAAACTGGATACATATCTTTATTGTAGTGCTCTCTACATATCCTGGTCATTTTTTTGACATTTTAGTTCAAATTAGATAAAATCTCACTTTTGAGCCAAAAAACACCTGTGTGCGCCAGTGATATAAACCCATTCTACTCTCACACACGCCCCAGCTGCAGTTTGGAGTATTCTGGCGCCATCTAGTGGATAGAAATGTAATTCAATCATGAGTAATTCTGAGATTATTGTGTGTGATTAGGTTCAGGTGTGTAGCTTTACAATTATCTTAGTGTGTAAACAAGGGTGGAATGAGACTTGCTGGTCTGTAAACTATTGCTTTAAGCAGCAATGACAACTGTCTGTTTTTTTTGTGTGTGACAAGTGAGCTGTCAATCACAGCCCAGACCACGCCCAACTCTAAGCCCCCCTTCTTGTCCCTTGGTCCTCCAGACAACGCCCTTTTTAGAGAAAATTTTCAAATCTTCATGTGGGCGGAGTAAGGCTGGGCACAGGTGTTTAGTCGCTCTTTAAGTAAGTGAGTCGTAAAGAGGGCTATTTACAGGACGAATCCCCAGAAATGATTTGTAAGCAATACTTGTGTCAATGACGTCATAGTGTAATTAGTTTGAAAACAAACATTTTTAGGTGGCACGGTGGAACAGCAGCTTGTGTTTCACAGGTTCTGGGTGTTTTGTAGGTTCCCTCCGGGTGCTCCGGTTTCCCCTACCACTAAAAACATGTACAATAGGTCTGAATGTAATGAATGAGTGAATGGATGGTGTTGGTTGGGGTTTTGATGCTCCAGTGTGTTCGGCGTCTCGCTTCCAGTTACACGTGGCTGGGACTGAAGCTGCAAACGTTTTTCTCAGTCACTCGTCTGTAAATGTCTCAGAGTGACCTCGACCTGCGGCTCATCCATCTCCACCCTGACACACCATAGTGATCATGTGAACGTGCACAGGGCCAGGCCTTTTGACTAATGGGGTTTTAAAACACACTTTCCCACGTCATTGCTGTCTGTACTTGAGTAATGTTATTTTGAGAGGGAAGAGGCCAAAAAAACAAACAAAAAATATATCAAAAAAGTCTTTAACCATGTCACATAAGAGTGACCTCATCCATAATAGATGTGGAGCAGTTTAGCTCCATCCACGCTAACATCGGGAAACACGTCTCCCCGTCCCTCTATGCTCTATTTTTGTTATTACTATAGCAATCCTCAGACTACAACATCATGGACACAACTGTTTTCTGCATTTTAAAACGTTTTAAAATGAGATTGTCTACTGTCTAATTCCGTTCTTACAACTGTGCGTGTGAGGCAGATCTAGCAGAAGGGATTTTATGACACAGTTTCTTTGTTGAGATGTTGACCTTAGATGGGAGTGTTGCTCATTCCTGATGTTTTTATTTATCTAAAATATAAAATATCACAAAATCATGTTTTCAAGATCAAGGACAAACACAAATATATGAATATATATATATATATATATATATATATATATATTTTTTTTTTTTTTTTTTCTTTATAGTGAAATTGAAACATGTTGAATTCTGTCCCATGTGTGCTTCAGATTGAGATCCTGACGTACTGCCAGCTGACCACACGGCAGAGACTGCTGTACAAAGCTCTGAGGAACAAGATCTCTATAGAGGACCTGCTGCAGTCATCGATGGGCACGGCCCAGCAGTCCCACAGCACCACCTCCTCCCTCATGAACCTGGTCATGCAGTTCCGGAAGGTACTGGTCACAGAGTGTTACTGTGTTGTTCACACATGATCTGTGCATGTTTGACTCACCTTCTAATCTCAAAGAATCCAGAGTCCACTCGCATAATTTGTATGTGAGTGAGGCTCAAAGCCAGGCATGTTCAAATCCGGTATAAGTTTTCACTTGTGGATAGAAGAGAAAACATAGTTTATTTTAGTTTTTAAAATACTAAAAATATCTCTGTCCATGACGTCATGAACTGAGGATTCATCATAGACATTGAAAAACATTGCAATTATACAGAGGGGGGTATGTGTTTGTGTCAGAAGTTCCTGATATTAGAGTGTATGGAGATTTGTTATCTTTGGAGAAAAGGAATATTTTATAACATGGTTAAAAGGTCTATTTTCATCAGCCTGCTTTCAATAAAATAAATCAATAAATAAATATTAGGCCTCAGCGAGACTTGAACTCGCGACCCCTGGTTTACAAGACCAGTGCTCTAACCTCTGAGCTATGAGGCCTTGACAAATGTCACAGGTCCGCCGTCACTTTTTATAATGGACACACCCTGCTGATTATGCGTATGATGTGCTCAAGACTGGTCTAACAGGAGCAGGCTTCTTTGTTCTAATGGAGTTTTACATTTCAAAATGTTCCATTCTGATACAACATGCCTGAATAAATAAAATGTGTTTGATTTACACCAATTTAAAGATAATAAAATACATTTTCACCAACATGAACATGTGCTTTTGTGAACCTGACTGCTAACCATGAAAATTTGCGCATGGCCTAAATGTTGTCTTCTCTCTCTCACAGGTGTGTAACCATCCGGACCTGTTTGAGCGGCAGGACACACGCTCCCCCTTCCACATGGCGCTCAGGCCTTTTGTCATGTCCAAGTTCATGTTCCGCTACGGCCTCCTGCACCAGCACACGCAACACACCGACAAGTGAGTGACCATCTGATGTTGTGATTTGAATTAAATGAATCCAAACGCAGATTCAAGGTAGAACAAGTTCATTTAATTGACAAAAAACACTGGAGATTGATAAGAAATGATAACAATGAAGTCTAAACAAGCTCCAGGACAATCGGCAACCTGGTCCTCCACTTGAGGAAACAAAAGGCTTTTATACAAGTCCAATAAAATGTTTCTAAGAATTTCAGAATTGGCTTTGCTTCTACCGCAGTCAAAGGACGAACTGACAGTGGCTGAGTGGATTTTCATCATAGAAATACTCTCCCCAATTGGCCTGATGGGAGACAGGTGGGCTCTCCTCACAGCAGTTCACCTGCAATGGGGGAGGAGACTCAGACGCACAAGGGGACGGGAAGGAGAAGACACAGGAGGAAGGAGGAGCACCAAAACTGCCCTCATGACATCTGACCCCTGAAAACCTGCCACAACTACTATAATGCATGCAATGACCTAACCCCAATGGTGGCAGAACATGTCGAGATCGAGGACAACATGATGAAATGAGTGGATGGTTGGTGGATCTGGAGACATAACCACCAGATCTTCATTATTCTTACCATGTGATCATTACCTTTTTGGCACTAAACTAAATGCTGCCCTTAGTCTTCAGAATAATGTATTTCAGGGACGTACTCCACTGTGATCCTTTCAGGCTGATTGAGGAATTTAAGGGGGTCCATCATACATTTCTGACAAAGTGCTACTGTGTGCAATTTGTTAGAATGTGGACAGATTCATGCTTTTGACTGGATTTCATGAATGAATGAAATATGTATTGTACACGTCCATGAATGAGTGGTCACTTTTAGATGGAAAATCTTACCGGTAAGTTGCAATATTAACCAGTGGATTCCAATGTCATTTTGGGGCATCCTTGGGGGCGATCATGTGACCCCGGGTCCTATGCAGCTTATCAGGCATTGGCCTATGAGCCAGGAGGTCGTGGGTTCGAGCCCACCTCAAGACTTTCACCACCGATCCCCGCTGTCTGCTGTTGTTATGACCTTAACAGCCCCTTGGAAACCCCTGGGAACACCAGCCTTAGTGGGGCGGCTGTGAAACTGCCGTTGTGTCCAAGACACTTCGCCCCGTTGCCTAGAATGAGTCTGGTGTGTGTGAATGGTTGGTGGTGCTCGGAGGGGCCGATGGCACATACTGGTTGTCTCGCTTCTGTCAGTGTTCCCCAGCACAGCTGTGGCTACAGTAGTAGTTTATCCCCACCGTTTTTGGAGTGAAAGAATAATGACACATGTGAAGCGTCTTTGAGTGTCCATAAAAGCGATGCATTATTATTATTATTAAATGCAGATGAAAGGGCATTCCTGTATTTTCTTCTACGTTTATTTGGATTCCATTTTGTATAATTATGAGGATGTTGCATGTTCGGATTTTAAAGGGCACTCTTCCCCTGTTCCAAGATTTACACATTTAGCTGTGTGATCGCTCCACTTTGCGACATAATAAAGTGCATTCATATGAGGTTTGTGTTTGTTTAGGATTCTCTGAAGAGTTCTGCCCTGACATATTGCTGTGACAGTATTTTCAAGATTACATCATTGTATTTCACAGAATCCTCAGAGTGCTGCTGTCTCCGTTTGCTCCTCATCACATCCAGCAGTCGTTATTTCACAGAAAAGGTAAAAAAACAACATTTGGCTTTTAAAATGTAACTTATGACATGGCATGCTATGGTAAAGAGCATAATTTTACTAGAGGCAGAATTCAGGCAGAATTCTCATAGTCAGAGGAGTTATCATGGAGTGCATGAGGTGTACTTTTGCATGAAGAAAAATAGTATTACTTGAATCAATTTTAAAACAAAAAAACATGTAAGGCCTCAGCGAGACTTGAACTCGCGACCCCTGGTTTACAAGACCAGTGCTCTAACCTCTGAGCTATGAGGCCTTAGTTAGTGTGCCTTGTCCTTTGTGAGTTTATAAAGGACACACCCTGCTGAATACTTAATATGTATGATGTGCTGAAGGCAGGTCTGACCAGGCTCCTTTGTTCTTTTGGAGTTTTACATTTTGAATTGATCAATTCTGATTAAGCATGCCTGGATTTCATTTATTTATATTGACAGTGGCTGCATCTTTCAATGTTTGCTTATCGTCTCCAGGTGAAGATGAAGGCAGCTGCTTCTCGTTCCTGCGCTTCATCGATGTTTCTCCAGCAGAAATGTCCAACCTCATGTTACAAGGCACTTTAGCCAGGTACTCTCCCCTTTCCCTCCCACCTCAGAGCTGGCTGGTTGTACACAGCAACATGCTCATGACTTACAGTCCACCTCAGTCAACTACAAATGTAGCTTTATTATACAAAAAAAGATAAAGTTTCTCACTCTCAAAACACTCTGGTTATTTTTCAAATGCATGTATGTGTGGCCTTTATTTATATTTTTTTGGTCACATCTTGACTCACAGGGCTCTTTCTTTCATTTATGCAAAAGTTAGCATGTCTTCTAATGAGATGAAGACTGTGTGCCATGACTCGTGGTCTGATCCCCCCACACACTTTAACACGACTGTTTCTGTTGGGACAAACAACATGTATTGTTCATGAAAATATTTAGATTCTTTGGGTTTAAAAGTATCCAGCCATTCCTCGGCTTGTCAATCAGATTTTTATTGGGTTTTTTGTCTGTCTTTCTGGCTGTTTTGCAGATGGTTAGCTCTTTTCCTGTCTCTCAAGTCTGCGTACCGACTCCACGTCCAGCGTCAGTTTGAGGAGACATCAACAGGGTCCAAAGGCCCCACGTGCTTGTCCCACAGAGACCTGCTTCTGTGGATGAACCGGCCCACCGCGTTTACAACCTCCAGCCCCGTCCTCCAGGTGGGACAAGATATTCGAATCATTTTTTGCACCCACTTTTGTGACCCCTCCCCCTAAAGTACTACAGGTGGAAATTGATATAAAAGCTACAGTCTGGTGCAATATTATTTTCTTTATGCATAAAGTAACAGCACCTTTTCCTAAAAAAAAAAAAAGAATGAAGGATGGATAGGTCATGTGTTTGAAATGTGAATGAAGAATGCTCTCCTCTTGTTCCTCAAAAAGATTGTGACCTAAGGACCCAACATGATGCAAAATGGCCTTTTCTATTCCAGGACCTGGTCTTCACCGGCTTATCCCCGGGGCTCATGGGGCGCTCAGACGTCCGGATCCATAGCCGCTCCACATCCCGTTTCTCCCTAAGGCCTTGTGAGCCTGCTCTGCCGCCAAAGTTCCTCCTGGTCGCCACACCCAGGGTACGCCAGCTCTATGTGTCCCAGAGGGGTTCTGGGTCACAAATCTTATTTTTTTTTTTTTTTTTTTTTTTTTTTTAATTCTCGTTTATCTGATAATTCCGGATGGTTGCCTTTCCATCTCTTGTCCCACAGTCACACTCTCAAACACACTGATTCACCCCAAACTATTGTATATATTTTTAGTGGTAAGGGAAACTTGAGCAGCCTTTAACGTGTGGAAAATATCAATGAAGAAGCAGTGTACACCAGAGCACGAGCAGGAGGAAACGCGTCACCTGCTGATATGCTTGCCTTCCACTCTCCACACCTCCAGGATCTACTATGAGCGGTCAAAAGATGAATAATGCAGATTTTGAAAAGCAAAGTTTGGCTGTTCGAAGGCTGATCTAAGTGACTAATTTCTAATGGAAGACCAACTATTTAGTTATAAATTAAGACGTTTTTTGCAGTCATTATGCTTTATGAATGGTGATGAGGAAAGGCAAACATCAACACCATACTCATCTTTTGCATCCGTTGTTATTTTGTGTGCGTTTATTGGTTTAATTTAGAAGCATTTGAACACACCATATACATTTTATTGGAGTGGAGTGCAGTTTTGTTTGGATTAAAATAAGACTCGACCAATTGAAAATAAGGCTGATTTCAGTTATACAAAACATATGTTAATGTTGTTGACTGATTTACATGATTGTTTAGAGCTGGCACAAACATGCCATAGTAGCGTATCGCCCATATGGGAAGAGCTTCAGACTGATATTCAACATATTTTGCTCTTTCTAAATGGTAACAAATCTGCCCAATATAACCATTGATTTCAAAAGGTTTGGGAGACAAAGCAGTAAAGCACATCAGTTAGTTAAAATTGGTTGCTGTGGAAGAAGGAAGAGGCCCTGATTGTTCGCTGCTAGTTTTTGGATTGTCATGACAGTGGTAGAAAACTCTATTTTATGTCGCACATTCTTGCTGCTAAAATTCTTCAGCCCTGCTTACTTTCCATCCATAAATCGTCCATAAATTAGCGCACCCTGTCACAAAGTTGTCCCCACATATGTTATTTTCCAGGAGATCTTGTTATTTGGTGTTTGCTCATAAATCATTTCCCCTGGTTTCCTAGGTGACGGCTGTTCCCATGGAAAGGTACTGTAATGACCGCAGTGCAGAGTATGATTGGCGGGTGACACGCGGAGGGGGCGGGGCCATCTACAGGGACTGCTTCCTGTACGGTTCTCCCGAACTGGCATCTGATTGGTCTGCGAGAGCCACGTCGTTCTACCCCCAGTCCCCAGGGGGCGTGATGGGCATGAGCCTACGACACGGCTGGTCCTACATCCGCATTCCAGGTCAGGAGAACTTCTTCTAGTCATGTTTGGTGGAACACAAAGGGGCAACAATCCATCATATTCGTCATGCATAACCCCATGCAAGTTCCATGCATTATTTCCTTTGTTGTGGTAAATTCTCATGCAAATTATTTGTTGAATGTTTGGTTGAAATTTTGTTTGGAAAAAGGAAAATTACAAAAGTTTCTTTTTACAACAGAAATGTTTAAGTAATCTAGGCCCTGTTTAGAGAGAGACGCTGCAAAGCAATTCGCAAAAACGACCAGGATCCTTATCATCCTAAGGATCCTCGTGTAAACAGCACATTAGACAATGTAATGGCTCAAATAAGAACTGAATTCGGGTAATAAAGGTACATTCTTGATGTACATGCATTAGATAATACTATTTTTTTTTTCTTAATTTTTAATAATGCTAAGTTCTAATAGTTCAGTAATAATAAGGAAAAAATATAAGGAATAATAGTTCAATACTAATAATGCCATTGAATAATTCTGTTTTAAGTACAGTGCCTTGCAAAAGTATTCGGCCCCCTTGGACCTTTCAACATTTCGCCACATTTCAGGCTACAAACATAAAGATATAAAAATTAAATTTGTTGTCAAGAATCAACAACAAGTGGGACACAATCGTGAAGTGGAACGAAATTTATTGGATAGTTTAAACTTTTTTAACAAATAAAAAACTGAAAAGTGGGCGTGCAATATTATTCGGCCCCCTTGCGCTAATACTTTGTAGCGCCACCTTTTGCTGCAATTACAGCTGCAAGTCGCTTGGGGTATGTCTCTATCAGTTTTGCACATCGAGAGACTTGAATTCTTGCCCATTCTTCCTTGCAAAACAGCTCGAGCTCAGTGAGGTTGGATGGAGAGCGTTTGTGAACAGCAGTCTTCAGCTCTTTCTACAGATTCTCAATTGAATTCAGGTCTGGACTTTGACTTGGCCATTCTAACACCTGGATACGTCTATTTGTGAACCATTCCATTGTAGATTTGGCTTTATGTTTGGATCATTGTCCTGTTTGAAGATAAATCTCCGTCCCAGTCTCAGGTCTTTTGCAGACTCCAACAGGTTTTCTTCCAGAATGGTCCTGTATTTGGCTCCATCCATCTTCCCATCAATTTTAGCCATCTTCCCTGTCCCTGCTGAAGAAAAGCAGGCCCAAAGCATGATGCTGCCACCACCATGTTTGACAGTGGGGATGGTGTGTTCAGGGTGATGAGCTGTGTTGCTTTTACGCCAAACATATCGTTTTGCATTGTGGCCAAAAAGTTTGATTTTGGTTTCATCTGACCAGAGCACCTTCTTCCACATGTTTGGTGTGTCTCCCAGGTGGCTTGTGGCAAACTTTAAACGAGACTTTTTATGGATATCTTTGAGAAATGGCTTTCTTCTTGCCACTCTTCCATAAAGGCCAGATTTGTGCAGTGCACGACTGATTGTTGTCCTATGTACAGACTCTCCCACCTCAGCTGTAGTTATCTGCAGTTCATCCAGAGTGATCATGGGCTTCTTGGCTGCATCTCTGATCAGTCTTCTCCTTGTTTGAGATGAAAGTTTGGAGGGACGGCCGGGTCTTGGTAGATTTGCAGTGGTCTGATACTCCTTTCAATATAATTGCTTGCACAGTGCTCCTTGACATGTTTAAAGCTTGGGAAATCTTTTTGTATCCAAATCCAGCTTTAAACTTCTCCACAACAGTATCTCTAGTGATGTGCTGAGCGTGCCGGGTCTTCGAAGCGTGTACCGAGTAAAAAAGGGGCGTATTTTTTGAAGTGTGGTTCGAGGCATGTGTTGGTGACGTATGTGGTGACGTTCGAAGCCTCGCGTAGCGGCCGCACCACGTGACGGTTCATATAGTGCTTCATATCGTTCGGAGAGTGCATTGCTTTGACAGGTGCTTTGTGATCCGCGGCTGTACCATAGACTGTATTGGCTGTCCCCGTCTGCCTCTGTGTGCGTACGTGTGTGTGTGCGTGATGTGGAGCAGTCCTGTACTAAGTATAGAGAAACTACTTCATATGAAATACAATTAAAAACGTTTCACTTTAGTAAAACCTCATATCAAGGCTTCAAGTTATTAGTAATAATACGCTGGATAATACATTTAACAACAGCTCTGTGGCGCAGTCGGTCTATGACGGACTCCGAAGTAGTAGATATAGCGTTCGAATCCTGGTCTTCCCATAATAAATTTTGTGTTGCAAAGTAAATGTATTTATTTATTGGGAATAAATGGTTTTTTCTTTTGTTTAATTAATCCACCTCTTGGTAGTTTTTCCTCCATTAATCACTTTCTGTAGAACTCTATTACTTTGGATGTGTTTGTTGTGGATGTGTTTGTTGTATCAACACAATTGACTGAAAGACTCAAATAGTTCATAGTTCATGAAGCATCATTTCAAACACAACATGTTAGACCATAGATTGTAAATATACATTTTAACATTAGATCTCACCATTCATTGTAAGCACTTAAGAGTGTTATGTATTTCTTTGTCCACATGATGGCGTAGTGGAGCATGATTCACCGCGAGCCTTCGACTCATGGGCCGAGTAATAGGCTGCAAACCCTCAAGGCTTCATGGGGCTTCATATTGCCATCACTAAGTATCTCGGACCTGCCTGGTGTGTTCCTTTGTCTTCATGGTTCTCTCTGCGCTTTAAACAGAACCCTGAGACTATCAAAGAGCAGGTGCATTTATACGGAGACTTGATTACACACAGGTGCATTCTATTTATCATCATCAGTCATTTAGGACAACATTGGATCATTCAAAGATCCTCACTGAACTTCTGGAGTGAGTTTTCTGCACTGAAAGTAAAGGGGCCGAATAATAATGCACGCCCCACTTTTCAGTTTTTTATTTGTTAAAAAAGTTTAAATTATCCAATAAATGTTGTTCCACTTCACAATTGTGTCCCACTTGTTGTTGAATCATGACAAAAAATAAAAATGTTATATCTTTATGTTTGAAGCCTGAAATGTGGCGAAATGTTGAAAGGTTCAAGGGGGCTGAATACTTTCGCAAGGCACTGTAAGTTTTAAGTAACTCATTTGCTTTAAGTAGCTCAGTAATCTGCCAATGGGGCAGAAGTTTTGAATTGTATTTGAAGTGAATAAAGTTTTATCTCACCAGTTGAGAACCACTGCTCTAGTGCAGAGGTTCCCAGTGTTTTTGCCTTGTGCACCCCCGAGCCAGCGTAGGCAGGGCCTTAAGGCGTGAACTTGATTCGGCCATATTCAATCTCAAAGTGTGGATCTTAAAGCATTGATATCAGCAGTGGTGCGTTCATCATGAGGTGGTTATGGCAGCTACAGGACACTGCACAAGGTCAGTGTCCTCGGATGGGAGAAATGTGTGTTACAGCCTTAAAGCATCTATAGTTGAAAACTTTGTGGAATGTCGATTTGCTAATTGTGGGTCATTTTTTAGAGCCTAACCTCTGCAATAATGGAGGAACCACTGCATTTGTTTTCCAAATCAAACATTGCGTGCGGCAAACACATGGTTATCAAAAGTTTAAACCATATCAGGTACACAGTTGAACATTTGTGAGTCGTTCTTGTATAAAACTGCCAGATTCTTAAAGGCCGCACAATGCCTTGTTGGCCGTGTCAGAAGGGTCTTTTTCTGTGAACGACAGGCCACACTTGATAAAACAAACAGGACACGGTCTTTCTGAATGCTTACGTTCACAGACCTCCAGGCCTGTGGGATATTTGAATTGCAGTTGTTTTTTCCTCCTCTGGCACGATTCATTTTAGATTAGATTACCCAGGGATACCAAAGCCAATGTGTGCTCACGCCACTGCCATTAAACATTCAGCCCTCAGGTTTTAAGTGAGAGGAAAGTGGAGTGCAGACTTGTATTTATTTGTTTCTTTTTCTAATCATCAATTATTCTTTTGACACCATTAGAAGACTGCAGGAGATATTCCAGTCGAAAGAAGAGATATATATATATAATCTGTGACACCTGTGGCTCATTATTATAAACTTAATACTCTGGAAATATCAATATTAAATTAATTTAATGAAAGGAACAATGTGGAGACTGGATTCATGTTCCCTGCATCAGTCTCAGAGCCTAAACCCAGACGATAAACAAAACTCCGGCCAGACCATTTCTCTTTAAGGTCAAGGTTAAATCTAGCCAAAAACTGAGAAAAAGAGAATATGAATTACTCTAATGTGCATGAATTTCTATAAATCTGACTGTGAGTTGGTGTTCCTAACCTAACATTAACTAGTTTTACATCTTCATGTCCCAATTATAGCCTGTTACAAGTCGACTGACTCGTCACCGTAAACTCAGATACACCTGCTGCACTGTGTCTGGGGGACAGCCCAGGACAGAGCTGGACTTCCTGATGACTTTGTCCAGCTTCTTCCTGTCCCTCTCTGTGATGCTGCTGCTCCAGTAGACCACAACAGAGTCATAGCAGTAATAGAAAAAGATGATTGTAAAGATGTGCGGCCAAAAATACATGCATGTGAAAACTAGTGACAAGAACGAATATACGGATTCCATGACATTCACACATTTCAGTTAAACTCCAGCTGCAGTGAATAATTGCCCTGCATGACCTTAAACCGTTGAATGGCAGCGTTGCTAAGAGCCTTTTGCTGCTGTTCATAATATCAGGCTAATATCACAGACCTTGATGTCTTAACAATGTCCGAGCGTCGGGCCGTTTCCTTCCTGCTCCGCGTGAGAAACGGCGAGGAGGAGTAACCGCGGCAACAAGCGTGAGAGAGTCGTGCACTGTAAAAAGTCCACGCCAGCACCTTGCTTTGGAAACATGACTGCAGGTGTATTACTGTAGGACAAGGAGCAAGGGCTGAGAGTGACATCACAATGACGTATTTCTTTAATTAAAAAAAATCATATTAATTAAAAAATGTGCTTTAATGTGTAAATTAATACATATAATAAAGACGCCCTAAAGGGTGGGGGACAAGTAAAAAATTATTATACAAATATTTCCATCATAT